CGCCGCCCCACACGCCGCCGACTTCCACATTCCTTCTCCTAACAACCAGCGGCGGCAACACAAAGTTATACACACACGCAGGGAGTCTCAACCTAACCCCGCAGCCGCCTGGTCTCCGCCCACAGGGAGGGAAGGGCCGGGCTGCAGGCAGCCCAGGGACAAGTTTACAAGCGACTGCAGGACAGAAAGCGGTGTTATCGGCCAAGTCGGCCTCTGTCCCCCGCAAATGCTGGGGTAATAGCCTGGCTTCAACCCCCCGCCAAGTCAGGACGTCGAGAGGACTAGTGTATATAATATCAGCCTCTTTTAGAGCATAATACAGAGAGCTCTGGAGACTTAAAGAGACATTGCTTTGTGAAAGCTGCTTCAGAAAAAGCCATGCCTGTGCTACAAACACCTTCATTGACTAAACATGAAGCACCCTGAACAGCCAGTTTGCTTTCCTTTCTTTCTCAGCTCTGCCCCCCACTCTGAGTGACCTTCAGGATCTGGGCTGTTGCCTCAGTTTCATCTTCCTTCATACACAGGGCTCATGAAACATCCTTGCCTCACAGTGGAGTTGTGAGGCCGTATTGATTAGGGTTGGGAAGGGGCTTTAGGGTTCTCAGATGAAAAGCTATACATGTGCAAAGTAATACTGTTTTTTATTATTATTCCCCTTGTTTCTGCATGTCTGATCTCAAGCCCCAGGCACCGGTGCAGTACATTCAGTTTTGTTTATAGTTTGCTTTCAGTCAAACGTACTCAGGGTGCTCAGGCACTAGTACATCATTTCAGCAGGTATTGCTTTCAATTACTTTACAGCAAAACAGTTGAACATATAGCTTCCACACAGCAGAGAAGAGGGGGGTGAAGGTTTGTTGTAATTTTTGTTCTAAATTTTCTGTTGCTCTTATATGGAAAGCTATTTTTAGAAAACCTAAATTGAAAGTCCCTTTTAACTTCCATTCAGCACTTTGGGTGACTGAAGGCACATGTCCAGGCATGTACACATGTGCATATCATTCCACTTTCTCCTTCAAGTACACACTGTACCAGAAATACCTCCCAAATAGCTTGAAGGAAGGCTATGCCAATTACTTGGTTTGATAAAAGCCAGAGATTACTAAATATGAGTCTATTCATTTGAATGCAGGTATAAATACTTAGCAGCATATCTGCATTAGTAATTGCAGGGATTTGTATTTACAGTTTTGTTGTGTTTGGTTTAGTACCAAAGCAATGTATTCCTGTCTCCTGGATAGAGACAGTTGCCTGAAAAGTAAGTTTGCCTCTAATGTGTTTCTAGATAGAATTACCTCAACAGACAAATTAAATTATCCCTGATTTGTTTATAGTTATGTATGAGCAGTAGGGTTTGCACACAGCTTAATTTTAAATGGTTTTAAAACAGTAAGGCCCTGATCTGACATGCCTTCTGCAGGCAGCTACATACTGGGGAAGGCCTTCAGTTTTGACCATATTGCTGTGGTTTTGCTCCATTACAAACCCAGGCCCCGTGTAGAGTGTTTCACCATTGCTGCATTATGGGGGGAAGGAGGGATCGATAAATATAAGCTACAACCGAGATTTCAACTACAAGATTTAGTACATTTTAGTATGTATGACAATAAAGCTGAATTTATCCAAATGTAAGGGGGGAATCTTAATTCACTGGAATAAATGCAGGTGTAGATGATAACAGGTTATTTTCAGTTAAAGCAGCACACATTGCAGTACATGACTTCAGTTTGGGTCTATATTGGATCATCAACATGCATGTGTCTGTCACTGGATTCTGTCATAGAGAGGCCATTGATAGGAACGTAAGGGTGATTCAGTCCATGAATAGGGTATTGACTAAGGTGCATATGGGATACTGACATTTGTTCATGAAAACTATACTGATTACTATTATTTGTATTGTGCTAGCTCCTAAAAGCTATGGCCCAGACCCCATTGCTCAAGGCACTGAAAAAACATGTTCAGACCATCAATCCATATCTGAACAGCCGCTGACGGATACCAGATGTCAGCAGTAATCCAAGCTGGGCCAGACGAGCATCTATTACTATTCTCCTAGACCACCTGGTGATTCAAGTGGGCTCTGAGATATGGAGAGATGAGAGAAGAGATGCATCCCTGAATCTCCAGTCATCCTCCCAGGCTGTCTCAGGAGGATGCACTTAGGGCTAAGTTGAAAACTGACAATGTTGGCCCAAATTATATTATATTTATTTTGTTTGTTTGTTTGTATGACATTACTCCATAGCTGCATTTGGCCATTAGAGGCTAGGTGTGCTCTGTACATGTTCTAAACAATGCCCAGTATGAATAAGCAAGACACACAAAGGGTGGAAGGAAGTAGTATTAACCCTATTAAACAGATGGAGGATTGAGGCAGAGAGAGATTAAAGTGGCTTTTCTGAGGTCATATGCCAGGAAGTCTGTGGCAGACCTTGGAGCTAAAACTAGATCTCCTGAATCCCAATCCCAGGCCTTAACCACAGGATCATTCTTCCCCTTCATGTCCTTCCCCCAACATGTCAGCTATGCAGTCCTCATCAGAGGGAATTCTGGTTCTTCAGAGCTCCTCACAGAACTTAGTTTCTATAGTTTTGCTTTGTAGAGCCAGAATTAAAAAATTACTTAATTACTCTGGTCATTTTTACCTAGGGAAGCTTCTGCATAGGACATGGGGAAATGAGCCGAATTCTGTATATCACAGTCCCATAAACAGAGTAGTCCCATTGTAGTTAGTAGTGTAATGAGCAAAATTTAGTTCAAAGCCTTAAGGTTAAGCCTTATGGTCACGCAAACACTGATATATGGGATTTTCCAAAGGGCTCAGTTTTTGGAAGTTTTATCACCGACTTCAATGGGAATAGAGGGGACTGACAAGAGTTACTTCCACATAGTGATTCCTGGTAACATCTCTGACAGCCAAGAGCTCCCCAATTGACAAAAATGCCAAAGCGCACGAAGATAAAGATACAGACACCATTTTTGTCATACGAAAGAAGAAGAATGGGAGTAGGGTTAGGCCAGTACTGAGCCTTTTTGAAAATCTCAGCCATGTAATCTATTACAGCAAGGTCTTCCAGGCAAAGCCACATCTTGTGTATGTGTGTGCTTCTCTCCCTTGCTCTCTATGTATAGTGGCAGATCCTGTGGGGATCACTAGAAGGGATTTTTAAAAAGATTCACTCATTTGAGCACTCATCCACAGGCTTGACCAAGACATGCCACTGCCTGGCTCCTTTGGAAATCTTCTTTCATTCTGGTGATTCAAAAAGTTAGTTTTTCCCAAGATAGTGCACTAGTTTATAGTAGTATCCTTAAAAATGCTCATTAAATATCCCCATAGTAGGAGTATCTTCTTTTCTTTTCTCTAGTATCTTCACATTTTCATAGGGCTGGCACCCTCTGTGAACTTTTCATGCAAACAAAATTCCCAGCATTAGATTATAAATGGCCTTTCATGAGCATGTGG